GTGTTCGATGAGAGATTTAGCCGAGGAATTTCCACATTGAATCGTGTTTTTTTTTTTTTTTGGTAACACGCATTGATTTTTATTTCTACGTCACGCTGTTGCGTGTCATCGCGCGAGTGAAATTTTCCGATCAAAAGATTTGGAGATTCGTCGAGATCGATTGGCGTTGATCCGATAATTATTTGGGAATGGACGTTGTTTCATCGTGGAAAAGAAGGATGGAGAAGAGAAACTCGACATTTTCGAGGACAACGGGAAGAGGCGATCGTTCTTTCAATTTTTGTGATCATCGGCTCAACGCATCGCTCGACAATGAATACTTGGAATTTGAAGAGGCGTCGTTTCTTTGTGATGAAGTGAACAACGTTTTCGAAAATAATCGTCGATCGAGTTGCTTTGACAAGAATCTATATATAAATATTTGTATGGAAATTGAATGAACAGATCGAGTGTTCGAAATATGCATGAAAAAGGATAAAATTCTCGATGGGATTCTTCCGTATCCGAATCTTTAATCGAAGAAGATTATACTATATGGAAGATGAAAAATATTCGAAGAATCGTTATGTTGGAAAGACATTATATTCACTCTTAACGAAATCGCATGGAATTCAAAGGAGATTCCAAAATTTTGGGGAAAAAACATGGACAATAACCATGGAATTGGCGAAAAGAACAAAGAAAAGAAGCGTGTGAGGTGAGTCAAAGAAGAACGTTATTAAAATTATAAAGTTTTAGATACTAGTTTTGCAAATGAAAAACTCTCCAAAGAGGGAATAATTAATTTCTCTTATATTATGACTGTTGCAATTACAAATACAGCGATTACAAACTGAAATCGCTTTTTTTTTAAGTGCATTGTTTCTATCTCCAATAGAACGATAGCAACTATGATCATATCACATCAAACAACGTTATTCATCCAAAAAATTTTTTCTGTCTATGAAGAGAACTCAAAAACGCGATAAATTATGAAGTTAGATAATTTTCTCGACAACAACGATAAAAAAAAAGGGGGGGAGGAAGTTAGTTTGACTCGAGGCAAATTTTCTTTAGATAGAAAAAAGAAAAAAAAAAAAAAAAGAAAAGAAAAGAAAAAAAGAACGACGAACCGCCTTGACCTCGTTCTACTTTTTTTTATAACACGTTGCACACGTTGCACAGCTTCTTTGCTAGACGTAGGCACCTCGGAAAGACGAATACACCCCCTCCCCCCACCTTCGTTTCTTCTTCGCTCGTTCTTTGCCAAAAGCCTTGTCGACCTCTCGAGGGCGACGACCCGGTTATCTATTAACCAGCGGATTTATTCCCCTTTCCATGCTTTCGTTTTACTCGAGAATGCTAAATGGAAGATTGTAAAAAATTTTACTCTTCCACGGTATGAATGAATACGAGCTCCTTGCTTCTCTTTCATGTAAAAAGGGCGCATTGTATTTCTACTTATGGATATTTCAATTAGTAAATACGGTGAAACATCGATTATTCCGAATTAATCAGAAGAGAAGAATCCATTTATGGAGATAGACGGTTTTTGATAATCGATTAGAAAAATTTATATATGCATGTGACATAACTAGAAAGAAAGAATTTTCGAATAAGAATGTTATTACATAAAGAAAGATTATATAGATGAACGAAATACATTGTAAAAACATAAATTAATCGTTTTTGTTACGAAATGTAGAAATTCGCATTTGCTTAATCAAAATTTAAATGATCGTTCTATTGTAAATATATTTACTACGATTTATAGTATATCAAAAGTAACATTACAACGAACAACGTATTTTGGATAAAGCAGAGGAAGGAAAAAAGTAATCCTCATATTTATCGTTTTTACCTTTTATAATCGTTTGTCATTCCGCTCTATTTGATCCGAAATGTCGGATTTGGAACAGCCTTATTGGGAGGGAATTTATCGTGTCCTGTTTTTGTTACGGTTCTGCGTTTATTTTTCGCAATATATACACCTCCTTTGCTAAGCTGTTGGGCAACGGTTAATAAACTTAACGATCCTGCACGATTGTAATTATAAGGACAATTTAATCGTCGATAAAACGTAAAGAAGAACAAAAGCATCGCGATAATTTTTACCCAAAAGCTTCATCGTGTTTTATTTCCTCAAGTCGTTTGCGTTTGGTAAATTTTACATTTTCTTTTATTTTCCACGATCGAAACATCGTTTTTATAACGTTTATTTTACAATAAACATTGCACAGCCGAAAAACAAATATTTATCACTGTAGCTTTATTCATTCTTCATTTGATGGATCTATTTCGCTCGTATTGTACACCCACATCCGGTATTGCGTAATTCGCGTGATTAAATCTGCGAATTAATTTAAGGAGAGAGTTAAAGATAAATCGAAATCTGATTTTTAGATTTGTAAAATTCGAATCCAAAACTTGGTGACAAAATTATCCAAATTTAAAATGTCTTTTCTTTTTCTTCTTGTTGATATTTGAAATCAGCTTATGGTAGATAACAATAATTATTTTTTTAATTTGCCAGACGTTTAATTTTTATGTTTTATCTTTTCTTCGTATAAGATACTAATTATGGATAATAATAAAATCGTTTCAAATATTTTGGAAAAAGAATCTTTAAAAAATGTATAAATTATCTTAGTGCATAGTGGATATTAAATTTTTAATATTTCATTCAATTCTATATGATACATGTTATGTGAGTTTCTATTACGAATGATCTGTGAATGGGAAAGCCATTTGTACATATCAATAAATTAGGTTTACTAATGTATCATGATAATTAAGAGGAAATGTAGATACTATTAAATAACCTTTAACTGGTAGATTCGCACAATGATAGTTAGTATAATCATAATTGTACCTATATCTCGAACATCTGATCCAAATAATCGAAGGATTATTCATATTTGTACATACGATTATAATATTAAGTGGTGTATGTTAATTAAAATTAATATTCAATGATGTTGAATTTTATGCAAATTCAAAGTTGGATCATTGAAAGTTAATGAAAGAAATCTGATTGATATATGAATGATATTATCATTTTATTAATATTCATTTTGCTGAATTGCATACTCTATTTCGATGCATCATTAAATCTGTTTAACTTGTCCTCGTTTTCGATTTTTTTTTTTTTTAACTCTTATTATTCTGATTAAAATAACGTTATATATAATTGAAGTACGAGTCCTTTAAATTATAACAGAAAGAGATACGGAATTCCGTTTATTATTATTTGAAACGCAAATTTCATGTAATTTTCAGTACCTTGTTTCCCATGTAATACTAATATTTTATATATTACAATTCGTGCAATTTCCATGTAATGATTCTTTTCTCTGAATCATAATTTAATTTGCAATTAATAATAATTAAACTTGATATAATAATCTTTACATTGCACGTGTTTTAAAATAAAAAGATATTTCTTACATTTGATCGAAAAATTAAGTAACGTTTTACGAATACGGTATATTCATAAAAAATCTGTGTATTAAAAATTTTACAAAAAGATTTATACCAAATGTCAAAAAATTATAAGGGAGATGCAAAAGATATCTTAGATACATTTGAGAGAGGAAGAGGGAGGGAGAAACAGATTAATCAGGAAACACATTAATGATAACGAATGCAACTACGTTAGCAATAGATAATATTATAATTTCAACGCCATCTCGTTACATGCAGTACATATTACATTAAACAAGAGAAGCTTTTACCAGTCTAATCCAAAACCGTCACTGAAGAGATTATCGTCAACTACCTGCATCGTCGCGTCTGCTCGTCATAATCGTTTATTCAGGATGTAGCTTGAACTTTGGACAAATTTATGAAACAATCTCCGAAAGGAAAGTACGTTTTTTATTTAAAATTATCCGTTAAAACGCGTCTACATACAATCAGTATGCATATAATGCATATATACATATTTTAAAGAAATCCTATTTGTAGTTCCTATCCGTAGTTTTAGTTAATTAGCTCCGAGTGCAATGACCAGACTAGTGTCAACGGGGAGTTGCAAGGGTATTTTTGCGCCGCCAATCAGGTTAATAACGTTTCCCTCGACTATTGGCAAGAATCGTGTGTGCACAAACGTATCTGGTTCACGTGTGTACACGTACACATCTATGGCCAATCTCATTAAAGGAGCCAATTGTTTCCAACTCATATTCAAAGTTGCATTCGTAGAGGCATACCATAGCTTTCCGTTTTGCACGTCAATTCCTTCCCACTTGCCACGAAAATGAATGGGAGGACGTCAACGTTGGGAAAACAAAATTATCGTCGTCGGACGATGGTTTCCACGACCGAATAGAAAACCGGTTTTTAAGCCCCTCTTTCAATTCCATGGGTTACCATCCCCCTCGTCGTTCTCGTCTTCTTTGAAAAATTCTAAAGTCATCATTATTGTGGAGCGAGTTTACAATGTACAGTTACAATGTTACGGGGAAGGAAATACTTTTTTCTATAGTGGATTTCCTGTTTCGTTGCGATACAATTAAAAAAGAAAAAAGAAAGAAAGAATCAAAGAAAAGATTAAAAAATTAATACGTTATCTTTAAATAGTGTATCAAATTAATTATGCTTCTTTATTTTTCTTTACTTTTCTTCAACGAGGGAATTGAGAAAATTCAATCAATTTGCTCTGTCAGAGATTGCGCTTTTCAGAATATCTGAAATATTTTACGATTCAACTATCGTAAATTATCTCTTTTTTGATAGCGTTTTGTTGAGATTTATTGAGGGTCAAAATGCATTTCATCAAAGGAGATGAATGAAAATCGGCAATTTTCTGACGAAAATATCCATGGTTTATAATAGCACGATATTCCAATCGATTTCAGTGTATTCCCTGATTATTTTTTCCATTCTTTTTTTTTTTTAAATTTGAAATTGAAATTTCATCGTGATTTATAATAATCATATTAGAATATTATCATTCCGATTCAATAAATCAAATTCGATCAATGGATTTATAAATAACACACTTAACAGATAGAAATAAATCATCAAATGTTGTAACGTTAGTATTATTCGAACATTTTATTGTAACAAATTTTAAACGATCCTAATTCAATAATCGAGATACGAATAATTCTATGAATAATACTACGAATGTTAAACGTTAACAGTTTCGGTTACTATTCTACCATTATTCCCGTAAACGTTTGAATAGATGAATCCCACCTTTAACAAGTATTCCTTACAAGTCCAGACATAACCAATTTCAATTATACCGGGTAATCTTCATTGCCGCAACTCTCAGGTTACCGCGAACAGTGCAAACTTGCGAGACAAAGCTCGCATCATGAAATCGTCATACTTGCGATGCATGTTTCCGTATAGAATTATACGTGTATCGTAGAACTAGAATTGTGAAACTTCCCTTCTCTCTCAGCCTCGCTCGTTTAAAATGAATCGAATATATTCCCTTTTGTCCACGATCTTTCCTCGATCCAGTTTTTTCCCCCGAACGGTCTACGTGGAACTCGATGTTTCAAATCCATTTTAATATTAACGTTTCGTGTTGTTCCCTTTTTTTTTTTTTTTTTCCTTTTTGCGCTCGAAACTTCGTTCGAAACGAACGTTCTTTGGAAACATTAAATCACATTCGCGTTTTCCTATAATTGCGTAAAATCTTGCACTCTTTGTGCACTCGTAATGCATTTTAACAGACTACCGCCGTTTCTTCGCCGTTAATTT